AACATCACGAGGTCATAGCTAAAGTCTATTGGAAAAAGATGCTTTTAGTGTTAGGACCACCTAATAACCTACATTTTATAGATTGAATAGTTTTAATTCAATATAGATTAGAAGAATACTGATTAAAAGTAATTTATGCTTTTACCACTGGTTCATAAAAAAACTTGATCAGGAAGATTAGCAGTGGAATTTTTAAAATCTATATTAATGTACAATGTATGCTGTACGAATATATATCAAAACGTTTAGCATGAGCATGCTATAATCCCCATTGTCGGTTATTACGAAACATATATTCTGTATTAGTTTATTAAACATTTTTAAGCTTTTTTATAGAGCTGTGTAAAAGCCATCTACATTGCCCTATGAATGAATTACTCTCTAAGTCTTTGGAGAGGGAACAACTGATATTTCTAGCTTGTACTTGTTCCTATTTACACAAATAATGTCACAAATTTTAATAAAAATACTTTTGTTTTTAAAGTAAAGTTTTCGTAAATATACAGTGAGAGGCCAAAGTTAATATATTTATTAATTTAATTTTTTTATGTAAGGTTATTTCGTGTTTAGCTTATAAATACCCCTTACGGCTATATAAGGTTCAATAAAGAACGAATAAAAAGCTATATGTATTATGTAGCACAATAAATACGACCGCATAGCCAATACGTGTGATGGAATAGCAATTGTTATATTTGACATTGTAAAGAAGATATCACACTGCCCGTGTTCACAGCATAACATCTACATAGTTTATAGCTTGCAATATCATTTAAGCTGTCATAACGTTCGAATTCGGACTGTAGAAAATTATGAAATGAAAGGGATTTTTTTTAACCTTAACAGTGAAGGCACTAAGAATTGGCAAAGATTGTTCACATAATAACTTAAAGCGTGAGTCCAGTCCTGAGCTGTAGCGACCTTGTATAAAGTTATTTATTTTTATTAGAATATGGGTGACAAACGAGCACACTATCCATCTGATGGTAAGAGAATGCTGTGACCCATAGACATCTACATCTACCCTCGATAAAGAATCAAAATGCAGATGCGTTGTCACTCCTGAGGACTAAGATGGAATGCCTCGTTTCCAGTAAAAGGAGTCTCTGGTTCTCTACACTCACAACACGAAACACATCAGTAATAAGCTGCTAATTATTATAGATGTTGTTTATTTTTTATTTATACACAGATTGCAGTAGAAAAACACTTATTCCGGAATGATTATGTACTGACCTACTATAAGAACAATCCATCTTATTGATAAACTGACACATATTCCTAAACAATTTGTTTTCGATAAGAAATACAAGATACAGTTAAATGAAAACAGCCAGCCGGAAGGATTAAGCCCAAAAGAGCTTAGAATTTTCACCGATGGTTCTAAAACAAATGAAGGTGTAGGTTGTGGAGCTTTCTCTGAAGACCTCAATATTCACATATGCACACCGCTGGGTACCTATAACACGGTCTTTCAGGCGGAATGTATGGGTATCATTCAAGCGGCCATAGCAATAGATGCTAGGAAGGTTAATGACTTCCCCATCAGAATACTGACCGACAGTAGGGCGGTACTCCAAGCCCTGAGATGCAATGTGGTGAACTCGGGACTAATATATGAATGCCATCAACGATTAAATGAGGTATGTAAAAACAACAATGTGACCCTGCAATGGATAAAGGGACACAGTGGATCCAGAGGCAACGATGCAGCAGACGAACTTGCCAGAAGAGGATCGGCTTTGGCCACTATAGGGCCGGAACCGATCATACCAATCCCCTTTGGTAACGTTTGTTCACTGGTACGTAGACACTTTACTAATCAACACGCTCAGCTTTGGAAAAATCTAGTAGACTGTAGACAAGCTAGGGATGCCCTGCCTGAAATTAACAGTCGCTTAACAAAAGTTTTAATGAGACTGAACAAGCCGCAGATTAGGATAGTAACAAGTGCTATCACAGGACACGGCACCTTTAACAAACATTTATTTACTATAGGTGTTACAGATAGTCCCCTGTGCAGGGCATGTATGGGGGAGGAAGAAACGGCGGCCCACGTGCTACTGAAATGTCCGGAGGTCGCTACATACAGGGCTAAACATCTCGGCACGCCGGGATCACTCCCCGAAGTTGCATGCAACATCAAGGGCCTGTTGAGCTTCTTCGGAGAGATCTCATGGCTCGAATAATCACATTATTCCTGCCCACACGCAAAATACGCGCATAGACGTGGAGTTGCGGAAAACAGCCCGTCGTAAACTAAACTAAACTAAACTGACACATCATTTTTTACATTCATTTTGTTATATGAGAGAAAACTTTTACACTGCTAAATTGTCCACAGAAGGTTCTCAATATGCGCTACATAGCCCGATTTTTGTTGAACACATCTAGTTCCTACAAGCCACCTCACACAGATCGTCACCATAGGAATAATAGGGCGACGGGGAAATGGGAGCTGTGTTTTTGTGGCGCTGTAATATGTATAATCGCCACGCTAGGCAAGGAGGTTGGAGACTTGGAGATCACAGTCTCAGAGACATTGCATCTGTGATGCTGCAGTCCATCACAAGCCTGGACATTTCTGATTGGACGAAGACTGGGAAGGTTATTCTGCCATCCGTCAAAAGCCTTATGGTGTCTATTTTTTCTTGGAATATTCCTCAGTTAGTTTAATACAACATCGACGGAATGAGAGAGATCGACAGAATTCTAGACCACCACCACAGAGCCATTATTTTGTATGCATAGATGTATAAACATGAAAGAAGCGAGAGAGGTATGTATGTTACATTCACACCAAATGGAAGACCATAGTTTCTACCTACCCTTTGGGTGAGTTTATGTATGCATGTATGTATTACAGTTACACAATACTTTTAATTTTAATTGAACGTAATTTTATTATTTATCTACTCACTTTTTATCTACTGATATATTATGATCCAATTAGCTGTACATTTGTTAACATTGACTGATATGTCAGATAATCAGAAATATATTACGCTATTTCATCAAAGACATCTTTGACAAAATGATAAAGTGGTTATAGTTTATCATTTATTTTGAGTTTCTTTTTTGGACTTCTGCATTTTCATTGTATTTGTCTAACTAAAAATATAATTGTAATATGTATGAAAATTTCATAAATCTATTTGTGGTAGATACACACAAAATAAAAAGCAAAACTAAAGCATTATAACCATTGGGTAATGAATTCATTGAAGTTGTATTTTTATTTCTAGTCTGTTTTTCATGTCAACTTGAATATATTATTTATATTATGGTAAATAAGTTACCAATAAGTATTAATACTTTCATTAAGAAAAACATTTTTGCATTTGAATGGTTTCATTTGTTAACTCGTTGTAGTAAGTAACCAAGATTCATTTATCACTGCACTAAGTTTGGTGAAACTAAAATAGTTACCTACTTTACAAAATATATTTTTTTAATTGATTTAAATTTTTACAGTTCACTTTTAGAAAAACTTTTATTTTACACACAAATATACAAGCATTGAATTTACTTACATACTTTAATACTAGCTGAAGCACCTTTACATTTTATTTAATTAAAGTTGACCTACTTCATCCATAGTATGCTAAGATAATGACCTTAATGGCGTTAAAGTACGTGAAATGCGCATTTTACCTAATGAAACTTGCAATACAACACTGTATATGATATTACACAGTATGGCCACAGCCTAAGAAGAAAATACAGTCAGTCATCACATTTGACGTTGTGGGAAAAACTGCTAGGGTTGTCAGAACGGGAAGTAATAAAAAAAATCAAAAACTGATTTTATTTTATTTCACGCTTAAACAAATTAATGTGTATGTGGAAACTGATGAAAATAATTGCTACTTATGAAGCTAAGGGCTGCTCGGGTATTGCTCAGATTGCATCTCGCGCCACAAAATTGCCCCTTATAGTCAGTCGCCTTCGATGACCGACTGTTAGTAGTTGTTAAGACTGTGGTACAGGGAGGTATCACCATAATCATCATTCATGACAGAATAGAATAATTTTTATTCAATATAGATTATTACATAATACTTATTGAAAGTAATTTTTTTATTTACCACTGGTTCGAAAAAAAACCTCTGTCCTGGGAAGAATCAGCACGAAACCCAGTGAGACTTTTTAAAAAAAACATATTTTACTTTACAATATTTTTGTTTATTTGTTTGCACAAATTTTAAATGAGTTTTAACCAACATGGTGGCGATCACCTCATTACCACGGGTTTTTTCACTTATGTATTCTTTGATATTATAATAACCCTTTTAGTAAAATTTTTCTTTAATAAAACATTTAAACTTATTGACAAATTTTGTACATTTTCTGCAATTTTGTTGTAAAAGCGTATACATTGCCCCATAAATGAATTTTTAATTCTGTGGAGTCTAGTAACTGGTATTATAAGCTTATGTTTGTTGCTAGTGTTTAAAGTATGAACATCTTTATTCTTATCAAAGCTATTTATGTTTTTATGTATATACATTACATTTTCATAAATATATTGCAATGCCAAAGTTAATATGTTTATTTACAGAGATTGTTGATTACAGTACTAGAGCTTATCCTAATCGCCACTCTGAGTATTTAATGTCTGCCACATTTAGGGAGATATTTAGTCATCTTTTAGTTTGTGTCCATCACTTTGGATTTATATCAATAGTGGATCCTAATACCAACTTGTTTTATATTTTAAAAATCATTTAAAGTTTAACTCACAATCAACCTTTGATAAAAATGCCTCACATAGGATTTTTTTCTGACTGTAAATGGGAATCACACAACACTTCTTAATTAGGTGCTGTTTTATCTCACTATTTATATAAACTTCAAGTTTGTGAAAATAACTTTAAAATATGAATCATCCAACCAGATAAAAATAATTGAGTATATTTTTTACCTGCAAATGGCCCATAACAAATTGTGCAAGACCATTATATAGATAAAATGAATAAGTGAAGTATAGTGGTACATACCCATCTAAGCTCTTGCAAGGCCTGACGTTGGCATAAAGGTCAAATTCCTTCCTGAGTGCCAAGTTTAATGATCGGTATCCTTTGCCTACAGGAGTCATCAGCGGACCTTTCAAGCCAATCTTATTGGCATTTACAGAGTCTATCGCCTTTTGTGGAATACCAAATTTTCCATCTGGACCCTAAAAGAAAAAAATAATGCACATTAAATAAAACAATATTTGTAGCCATTATCTTGTCTTCACTCTAGAATTTATTCTTTTATAATTTATTTATGTACACACAAAGTATTGTTACAAAGTAAAATAAAAAAGATATTTTTGTACAAAGGCACTGTTTATTTCATATTGGGATTTCTTCAAACAGGCCCAATAGTGGACAGTTCAAAGATAATTAGATTTAGTGTACTTTTATAATAATTATCATTATATTAAATATATACATAATGTACCATACATATATAACATACATACACAACTTGCATATACCTACAAGTCATACATACCATAGTAAATGTTTACAACTAATCTAATTTTTTATATTATTAATGTTTTTTATTATTTTAGGTTTTAAAAATATATTCACTTTCCATATTATATTTACTTATACTTAACTACATAATATTATGAACTCAATAAAAATAACAAAAACTTATTATAATAAAAACAAAAAAAAACTGTATAAAAAAATGTAGTATGTGGAAAATTAGACATTGTTTAACTTATAATTCCTATTAATTTTTTGTATGTAATAAAAAAATTGAGAAGAATAATATAAATTCCTATATAACAAGCACTTATTATAAATAAAAAATAACAAACACTTAATGTATGTACTATAAAGGAAGGCATTTTATTAATAAAGCTCGGTACTTACCCGAACAGCTGTGACATCAACTTCGTCCCATTCAATGGGGACTTTAGCAGCTTCGAATATTTTCTGCACTGCGACGGTAATCTCTGGGCCGATGCCATGGCCAGGAATCAGTGTCACCTTCCGAACGCCCGTACTGTACTGCGAAGCGCCGGTTTTAGCTGCCGGGACCTGGACAAAACCAGAAAATCTCTCGTATAACCTCTAATTATAAAACTTAAAGGAAATTACGATGAAAATGTATGTAAACCTCATTGCTCGCAATCCCAACCCTATCAACTGGTTTATTCGATCTCGCCTCGAACAATTTCAATAAGCCTTCGACTACTTTACTCTCACGAAAAGGCTTCAAAAGCGCATTTATGTAATTCTTCGACATAACTATAGTCTATTTTTGGATAGCACAAGAATTAAAGCGCACAAACTGCGAGAATTAAATAAGGGGTAACATGCAAATTTTAGGAAAAACGATTGGTTATAGCACTGATCTACGAACTTACTATTTTCCTGATTAATCTCGCAGCCATTTCTTTAAAATTTTTTAATACGACGTCGAATGGTGCACTCCGCGGACGTTACAGCGGAGCGGGGTGAGGAGTGAGGAGTGAGGACGGGGGAGGATCACAGAACACTAATACCCTTAGGGGGAGGATTGGGGAGGATATTACGATTAGACAACGACGCATGACCGGAAATTATCAGCAGGGCATTAAATTGCGGGAAAATTGTATATCACTTTTATAGGCTCTAATTACTATTTTGCATAAAATGTACATGTCAATGTAATTTAAAAAAAAATATATTTTACGATTTATTTACCTTTTAGTCAATTAATATCGGTAATACATAGATATAGAATAGCAAATAGCAAAAAAAAAAGAATGTTACGCTCTAAGTGTAACGAATTATTTTAGTTTATAATAAAACGTTATGATTATATTATATTCTTTGTTTATAAGGATTAAAGATTTTTTTTAAATAAACTACCTATCAACTAATTATTTTAGAACGAAAATTTAAAAAAATACGTTAAACTAGAGTAAATAATGTTCAGTGACGTTTGTTGTTCAGCAATCCTCTATCTACGCAGTGACCAAATGATATTGCATAGAGATATAATTATTGTTCTAAGTCATCTATGTCAAACAAAATCATTGACTAAGCGGGGAAAGCACTAGACGTAGATGGATATGCCCACGGTCATGTCTGTCGCCGCAATACACTATACAGACTCATTAGTTTGTTTTACGGCTATGGCTACGTGATTAGTTGTGCTTGCACATTAAAATGACAACGAAACTACGAAAAATTTCAATAGTAGCTGGTGCTGCATTAATACTGTCCGATGATAAGAAAAGGAAAAGAATTTGGTGAAAAGAATGATATAAAAATAGAAATAAGTTTAGCCATATCAATTTACTTAAAAATTAGAAGTTGATGAACTAGGAGATCTTTACAATTACTTGCACAATTTACAATTTATTTTACTTACAATTTTGTACGTGGTAGAGCCATGCTGCAGCATTATTAATAGTATAGTTGTAGCACTAATGGGTCGGCTCGACCGGAGAAGGACCACGCTCTCACAGAATACCAGCGTAAAATAGTAACTTAATGCTGCTGTGTTTCGTATGGTGAGTGTAGAGAACCGGAGACCCTTATTACTGGAAAGTAGGCATTCCATCTTAGTCCTCACGGCTGACAACGCATCTGCATTTTAATTCGCAAACGAAGATAGATGTAGATGTCTATGGGCCACAGCAACCACTTACCATCAGGTAAACTGTGTGCTCGTTTGTCACCCTAATTCTAGAAAAAAAAACTTGCGCAAGTATGTAGAGTCGTTTGAATTTTCATTACAACTGGTAGATTCTCTCTTCTCAGAATATTTTATTCTCTTCGCAGAATATTTTATTATCATTAAAAGTCATTGCAAATTACAAAATCTTGAAAGTTCGTTGAATAATCATAAAAGGCCGTCTGAACTGGTGGCTGTCGCTCTTGTGTCTGTGAAGTGTTAACAGACAGCCCGCAGTTAACATTCACGTTCGGGCATGTCTGTGCCCGCGCAGACAAAATGAGATCGCGCGGACGTTCAACAGGCAAATCTGCCCGACCGATTCCAACGGTCCCACACTATTAAATTTTGCACAGACCTATTACAGCGCAGTCCGGCAGGCATGCCTGCAGACATTCCCTTGGGCATGTCCGTCTAGTGAATTCCCCGCTTAACTCACTCGCTCACTCATCATTTACATACAACTTTATAATTTGTGGCTCACTTACGCCTGTATCACAGACTAATATGATGGCCAATATATTATAAGTCTATGTGTTCACTACTGCCAAAGAGCATAGTAAATGTCCTACATATGCAGGATACTATAGTTTGGCAAACGAAAGAAGGGACTGAAAAAGCGCGGCAAATTTAATAATAATAATAATAATAATAACAATAAATGAAGCGACATGGTTGTTGGATATTGGTATTCCAAATTCGCACAATGTGCAGATATACAGCACCGAAAAGATGGTTAAATACCAGCGGTTGGCTGAAGAAATCCGACAGCTAAGGAGGCAGCAGCAGGTCGATATCGTACCGCTGATTTACTCCACCACGGGAATTGTTCCTAAATAATTTACTGAGAACTTAACGAAGCTAGGAATATCAGTGAGGGTGAAGAACAACATACAAAAAGCCGTAATCTTGGATACGACAGCGATCGTGCGTCGCCACCTCTCAATTTAAAGAATAAAGGGCGGGATCTTGCGATCAGCCGATGCCGCATCTAAAGCCCCGAAAAGGAGCGCTAACGATAATAATAATAAATCTTTATTGACATTTTTATAGTTTACATACTTTTTACAAATATATGCAATACATCAAGAGGGCTAATTTGAAATGGGTAGAATCCTGAGTCTCCTAGCTAAGTTACTTAGTAACCTGTATTTAGGAGATACAGACCTATCCCCCCTTTTGATTAGGAATACATAGTTGTATTGTTTAAATTTTTGCATGTAAAGAAATCAAATTTTAAAAAGATAATAAACTGATCTCTGAGTGTGTGTGTGTGTGTATGTGTGTGTGTGCTCTTGTGCGTGTGTATGTATTAAGTAGAAAATTATATAAAGTAAATATACCACAATGCGACGAAATATTTTTTATAACAATGTTAAGAAGTATTGTTCCTTATCATCATATGACTTATTTAGCAGGAAAAAGCGGACAGCAGTTTTACAATTAAATTGACATTTCATAAATCTCTATTTTCGCATTCATTTTGTTATAAAGTAAAGGACCTAAAAAGACCGCTAAAAAGAACCCCTTTGTCGTATCTCCTCAGTTTCAAGGCACTCCCCTTTTTGCCTGAGCCAGTATCGGTATCCTCGGAGTCGACATATCGAGTGACGTGCAGTTTCGTGGTCACTTGGAAGAGAAGGCCAAATTGGCCTCTAAAAAGCTTGGCGTGCTCAGCAGAGCGGGACAGTATTTCATGCCGGCACACCGCCTGCAACTTTACAAGGCGCAGGTTCGGCCTCACATGGAATACTGTTCCCATCTCTGGGCAGGGGCTCCCCAGTGCCAGCTCCTTCCACTTGACCGCATCCAGCGCAGAGCGGCTTGAATCGTCGACGACCGAGCCCTTTCCGATCGGCTCGATTCATTGGTATTGCGAAGAGATGTTGCATCCCTTTGCATTTTCTTTCGCATCTACCATGGGGAGAGCTCTGAGGAATTGTTCGGATTAATCCCAGCCGCCAAATTTCACGAACGCACATCGCGGCAGAATTCCGATACCACCCACACCATCTGGATGATTGGCGGTCCACCACTGTGCGATTTAGAAGATGTTTTCTTCCTCGCACGACTTCCTTGTGGAATCGATTACCATCAGCGATTTTTCCGCACCGATACGACTTAGAGACCTTCAAGAAAAGAGCGTACCCCTTTTTAAAAGGCCGGCAACGCATCTGCAATTCCCTCCCTGGTGTTGCAGTTGTTCATGGACGGCAGTAGTCACTTACCATCAGGTGAGCCGCATGCTCGTTTGCCCCCTCTCCTATAAAAAAAATAAACCTAAGTAATAAAAAAATATTTTTATAAATGAATAATTGACTAGTGGAAGTGTGCATACTTTGTCTTTACGACGTTTTGTAATTTCAATGAAAGGAGTCTTAATAAGCTGAAGTAATACTGTGTGTAGTATAAAGAGCTGCCTCACACTAAGAACAGCGCAATTTTGATATACGAGGGCTGCACTAAAAGTATCGGGAATAGAATATTTCCACTGTTCATGTCATATTAAAATCTTTTTAATTGAAAAGTCCTTGGTTTTAAAAATCGAATACCATTTATTTATTTAAAAAAAGATTCTCGGTCTTGCCACAAGGTTTTATCAAACTTGTTTAGTCGTTGAGAAAATGGAATTGACTCGAGAAAATTCAAGAGCGATGATTTATTATGACTTTCGAAGTGGTTTAACACAAAAACAGTGTGTTGACCGTATATCCGTCCAGTTGTCTCATATATTGGTGCACCAGCTTATTTTCTTGCTAAAAAATTAAAATTCCTCCTTCAAGAGAAATCTGGATTCAACCCCACTTACAGCCTAAAATATGGCTTACATCTCATTTCCAAAATTAAAGATATTCGTATTCCTCCTAAATCCATATTGTTACCTTTACACGTTGATAGTCTTTTCACAAATGTCCCATCCCCTGAATGTTTGCGTATACTCGCAGATCTCTTTCATAAACGTCGTCTACATCCCGGGGAAACAAATGATCTTCTTAACTTAACCTCTCTCTGTATGAAACAAAACTATTTCCGGTTTAATAACCGTTTCTATCTACAAAAAGTAGCTATGGGGTCCCATCTAAGTCCCCTTATGGCGGACATTTTTATGGATAATTTCGAAAAACAACATATAGTTGTCAATCAAAATATCTTATATTACTGTCGATATGTAGACGACATACGTATTTGCTGGACTGCCACAAGGAGACAACTGGATGTTTTCCTCAATAAAATTAAATAGAGTCCATGACAAAATTAAATTTAAGCTTGAATTGGAACAAGAATGTTCCCTTAATTTTCTCGGCTTAACAATAACAAGAAAAGAATCGTCACATGTTTTCCAAATTTATCGAAAGCCAACTCACACCGACACGGTCATCCCCGCGTCATTGTGTCATCCGTGGCAACATAAAGTAGCCGCTTTTTATTGTTACATTAACCGTTTGTTCACTGTCCCATTAAGTAAAGAAAATTATTTAAAAGAACTTAATATAATTTATCAAATAGCCGTCTCTAACGGTTTTTCTAAAAATCACATTAACAATTTAATTAAAAAGAAAGAAAAGCATGTTGTTCGCAACTCTCTGTACGTGGTTCAACCTCAAAGTGTTCATCAATATGTGAGCAGTTTGACCTACTTAGGCCCCATATCTGAAAAAGTAGCTAATACTCTTCGACAAAACGCCGTTTATGTGGCGTTCAAAACAAACAATTCCCTTAGAAATATCT